CGATATCGTGGCCGAGCTCCGCAAGAAGCAATTCCGGCCCTTCTCCAAGGTGTCCAAGGCGAAGGCCGCTGGCGAGACCGAGGACATCGTCGAGGAGGACGAGGATGAGAGTGAGAACGGCACCGGAGCTACTGCCGGTCTCTCAGACTACGACTACCTCTTGGGCATGGCCATCTGGAGCTTGACGCGGGAGAAGGTTGGTTGTCAATACCCACCGCGATTTTGCTTGCCGTTTGCTTAGTCCGATTGCCCTTCTAGATCGAGAAGCTCAAGCAACAGGCCAAAGAGAAGGAGGAGGAGCTGCTCACGCTCCTCAATCTGACGCCGATTCAGATCTGGCAGACTGACCTTGACGCGTTCCTTGCGCAGTGGAAGGTGAGCTATCTCATCTCTGCGTCGGCTTCCAAAATGTTATTCACACCAACCCGTCTAGCAAACCTGCGAGGACTGGGAGGCGAAGCTGTGCGCAGCCGAAGGGGAGACCACCGGCAAGAAGGGCAAGCGGAAGCAGACGAAGCTCGGCTTTGCGCAGGCCAAGAAGCCGAAGAACGGGGACGACTCGGACGACGACTTCAAGCCGACCAAGCCCGCCGCGAAACCCAAGAAGGCGGCGGAGGCCAAGAAGCCTGCTTCAGCTGTTCCTTCCGGCTCAGGTGTCACGATTAAGAAGGCGGAAAGCGACGATGACGTGCCGCCTCCACCGAAGAAGCGTGCGCCAGCGAAGAAGGCGGTGACGAAGGTGGAGGACTCGGACATAGAGATGGTCGACTCGCCGCCATCAAAGCCTGCACCCAAGAAGGCAGCGACAAAGGTCGAGTCCGACGATGACTTCGAGTCACCGCCATCGTCGAACAAGGGCAAGGCCAAAGCTAAGAACGGGTCCGCGACGAAACGGAAGAGGTTGGTGCTCGCCTCTCCATCCCGTTTCGATGTAGGTGCTGACTCGCGGCGATCCAGCCTCGACAACGAGGACAACAGCGACGATGACATGTACGTCGTGCCAGCGCCGAAGAAGACGAAGCGTTCTCCAGTCATAGACGATGACGATGACGACGTCATGGAGGTCGACCCGCCGAAGAAGAACGGGAAGCAGGCTGCCATCACGGACTTCCTCGGTAAGGGTGCACTACCCGCGAAGAAGCCGCCTGCGTCTCGCAAAGCGTCTGCAAGCAGCCAGGCAGCGTCCAAGAGCAAGGCCCCTGCGAAGAAGCCATTGAAGAAGGCCGTGGTCTCGGAAGACGACTTCTCGGACGACGACAGCGTTCCTCCACCTCCGCCACCAAAGCGCACAGAGGCCCCGAGACGGGCAGCAGCTGCGAGGACGGTGTCGAAGTATGTCGAGATCACGTCCGGGGACGAGGACGGCGGGTCGGACTTTGAGGATTTCGATTAGACCTGGTGGTCGTTTTGCTGTCCGATCTCTCTTGTCACTGTTTGCATGCACAGCCCATCATCTGTATTCTTATTCACGACCCGGTTCACGCGCATCCATCTCATGTACTGTGTTCTGACGACGCCCACGCTTCTCGTACTCGTACTCATCAGCGTCTTATTGTGTTTGTGTTTGATATCGATATCTACGAGCTACTGTCTAGATCGTAGTATGACTTGGAAGCTCCAGACGGCACTGCTGCTGCACATCTCGTGTCAGATTCTTGGTTTCTGTGGGTGAATGGCTCGTTTCTGTCTGGCTTCCTGCGAACGGCACAGGCGGCGGGGTGAGGATCTGAGTGTCTGGCCGCCCTGGTCTTGAAATGAAGGAGGCTACCAGAAAGGACAGTGTCTATGGAGGTGGAAACTACGAAACTAGGATACGAGCTACGGCTATAAGTCCTTGTCCTTGAGCGCGGGCGGCTTAAAGTCCTTGAGCCACGCCTTGACAAACGCAATCTCCTCGCTCTGGATCTTCTGGATGAAGGCCGGCTGCGCGCTGAAGTCCGCGAGACCATTCTCGTCCCAGTGGTGGACCGCGCCTGTGTCCATCGTGAGACTGTGAGAACGCAGCCATGAACTTGAGGCGACAACGTACCTGGGATGAGCTTGAACGGACGCAGAGTCGTGTCCTTGCGGGGGCGCGCGCGGGGGTCCGGGCTGTGCGGGCAGTCGCCCCTCCACGGGTCCGCTGCAGGCGAGGTTACGTTAATAGGGTGACTGGACAGAGAGCAAGCTGGGAGCGCACCCTCGCCGTCGATGATCGCGAGCCGGTCCGCGGCGATGTTGTACCCCCCGAGCTTGTTCACGGACTGGACGTCGGGCCACTTGGGAACGGTGAAGTGCTCGCCAGGTGCAAAGGCCTGTTGGTGCGCTCGGTCAGTGGGGGGCGTGTGGTAGGGGTGCGGGAAGGGTACGTACGAGCTTGCAAGTGAGCGCGGCGTACTCTTTCGTCATCAGCTTGGAGATGATACGCGGCCGGAGGGGGTTGGGCGGGGGCGTCTGCGTGAGCGTGAGCGATGCTGTCCAGGAGTGGGGATTGCACTGCGAGCGCACCATGAGGAAGCCCCACTGGGTGCAGACCTGGAAGTTCCAGAGGCGCCAGGTCTGCGAGAGGTCGGTCTGCGCGTAGAAGTCTGGGTCGGTGATCGATCCGAAGCACTGTCGTGGTGTTGAGTTGCGCGTGTCACGGAGCCCGTCGCTCGGGACCTACCTGGTTCTGTTCCTCGATGGGGCAGCTGTTCGAGTAGGTCTGCAGATGGCGTCAGCACACCGGTGGTGTGAGAGGTCCGAGAAACGTACGCTGTTGATGTACTTGGCGTAGCTGAACGTAGCGTTCGACACCGTGATGCCCTGGAAGGTCTTCACCGTCGCTCGGTCGGGTTTTCCCAGCGCAGCGCAGAACCTGGCGAACCCAGTGCCGCTGATAGCGGGGTCCCAGTTCGTGCTCTGCCATCCTCCCAAGGGGCCCTGTCATGCGGCTGCCGTGAGCATCTCGTCCACACCAGACAGACCGCAGCGGGACGCACGGAAAGAAGGGACGCAAAGTCGGGGTCATACGACAAGCCGGATAGGCCAAAGAGCGCCTTGACGGCGTTGCGGGTCTTGTTGCTGCGCTCGAGAAGCCGGTCGACCTCGTCGATGGCCTTGACGACCTGAGCCATGCAGTCTTGGGGCGCGTACTGGCGGATGATGTCAAAGTAACGCCAGTCGACAACCGTGGCGTGCGTCACGCCGCTGGACGAGATCGCGCCGTAGACAAGGTCCGGGTAGAGGACGCGCATGTGTGCGGCCCGCGCGCCGCCGTAGGAACCCTGCGAGAGGGAAGAAGGTCAGTCTCATGATCTATGGATGCATGCGGACGCAGGAGAGTATTTTTGGGCGTTGCCCCAACACATCACACCAAAGTGTCCAGGACACAGAAGTCCATGCACATGAACCCGGGCCCGTATCGCAAGTCCTGCCCACCCGGAGTTTGCTCCACTTCGCACCTTCAACACACCGAGTGCACGGCGTCGAAGCGTCCGAAGCGACAGCAGGAACGCCATGAAGGTATGGGCAGAAGATGGCATGACGGGTGCTACAGATGTCCTCCGGGAGAGGTCCATAAGGCACAATGAGGCTCCTTCAGATCGCTAGCAAGATACTCAGTCAGAGCGCTCTTGAACAAAGTCCCCATAGCTGCGGTAACAGATTTGAGGTCCATCTACTGCCAACACTTAGACACTTCATGAGCAATGGGTCATAAGTAATGGGTAGGAACGGTGGGGAAGGCATGTCCTCTCGTTCTAGAGCGCTTATTGATGGACACATTCCCCACCGAGTTCCTACCTAGATAGATACGTAGCGCGGACCGACCACATATGATCCGTCCCGCAAAACATATCGCTCGAGCGACCAGCAGTGACCCTGATCGACCCAAGAGGGACAAGACAAGCCACCAACGCCCTGACAAGCCAAGCAGTCACATCCTGACAATGTGGTCAAAACAGAGACTGACTCCATAGTAGATCCATGGCGTCCCGGGTGCCGTAAGGTCGGCCGTGATGTTGGGGAACTTTACGTTCGCAATGAAGTTGGCGGAGTCTGCGGCCGCCTGCTCGTTGTTCAACCACCTGCGAGGAAGCATGCGCCCATATGGGCCCTTATCAGCGGATGTCACGGGGGCGCGTCTTTCTCCTAACGCGCGTACCTCAGCGAATCGGTCGTGAAGTTTTGGACTGGGACCGATCTTCCTGGAGGACGTCAACACGGGGTCAATGAGGTCCGCCTGCTGACGCCGCGGCCAGCTCACCATAATACCTGTGCTCGAGAATGACCCCGAGCCCGTTCGTCGCGTTGGCGAGAATGTTGATGATGCCGGTGTCGAGGATGGGTATCCGCGACGTGCCAGAGCTTTCGCCCGTCTCGAAGACGATGACTGGTCCTCCGGGTTTGTAGTGGCGGTCGCTGACCCAGTACCTCTGCTCGAAGGTGTGGCCGGTGTCGGAGAAGTGATCCAGGGGCTGAGTGAATGTGTACTGAGGGAACGACGCGCTCTGCCGCCTGGCGAGCGACTCAGAGTCGGATGGGAACTTTGCGTCGAGCTTGACCGTTTGCGGGTTTACGGGGTGGAACCCGTTGGCCGCAACCGAGGGCAGGAGGAGCGCGAGCGCACCGAGGCCAAGTCGCCAGTTCATGGTAAGGAGCGTCCGAGCAGCCCGGAGGCACTGGCAGCGGTATATATACCGCGAGGAGTTCGTGAGTGAATGGGTGCAGAATGGATTTATCCGTTCGCGCTGGAAGGCACGTTAAATAGAAATGCTCCGATCACTAGTACCACCATTCTGGGACTAAGCGCAGTCTGAGTACTAGTCCTTACTCAACATCAATGTACGGTAACCTATTGATGTTATCCACAAGTATAGTCACAGTATAGCACTAGTGTGTATTGGACATTACTACTATTAAGAGAGACTAGGAGGGACTAAGGAGAGCAGCTTCAGCCTGAGGTCGGACAATTCGGGGACGTCATAGTAACTGAAAGGTTGCCGAACCAACAGGTAATTGCGAGGCAAACAGAGAATATGTGCCCCGTGGCTGAGTTGGTTACAGCGTCCGACTGTTACAATGTGGCGGGATCGCAGTACATCGGAAGGTCGTGAGTTCGAGCCTCACCGGGGCAGTTAGTTTTGTCACACCTCAGTATATGGCGCACGTGATATTTTTTCTTTCAGGCCTTCACCTTCCATGACCGTGCCGGTGTCTACACCACACCTTGTCTTTCCAGTGCCACTGTTCAAGTCTCTGATCAAGCCGTGTAGCGCCTTCCCCTGCGAAATCTCCTGGAAACGCATCCGACACGAGACGAGCTGGTTGAAGAAACGTGGGCAGCCGCAAATGGTTAGGTCTAGATGTTTTCCTGTACCCGGCGCCCGCATTCAGCAACGGCATACTCACGGTCAATTACGTCCTCATAGAGTCGTCAACATAGAACAACGGTGGCGGTGGAGCCACCCTGGCCACCCCGTCACGACATCATCTTCCCAGTTGAAGTTTGGAAGCTCATCTTCGAGCATGCATATGACCCACGAACCCAAGACAAGTTTGTTGGGGGAATCGTGTGCTTCCTGTCCGCCTTGCGCGAGACGGCAGAGCGCGTCCTTTACAGTTGCCCTCGGATTGAAGGGGTCTACTCCGCCGTTCTCTTCGCAGAGAGTATCAACACCGCCCAATACCGCGCTGAAGCCGTTCGGGAACTATTCATGGTGGTGAATCCGAATGACCAAGGGCACGAAGACCTACTCCTCGACACCATGAAGGCCGTCCTAGACAAGGTGCCGCGTCTGCAATCCATTGGACTCGCGGGATATCCCCGGCCTATATCGGACCTCAGAATCTTCCCATCGGACTCCTTCGTCCTCATGTTACCTAGGCTGCTCGACAATCGGACCGCGCTGTCTCTCCGGGTCATCAAAGGAGACGGGCTGCCCCTCATAGCAACCACGGTGAAGATCATCAATGCTAACCCGCAACTCGAAGAGATATGGCTGGGAGTCCAAGTCCCGGGCCTACCACCGGTGACCGTGATCGCCGACGTTCGTCTTCCCAAGCTCCGTGCTCTGGCCTGCCATGCACCTTCGCTTTCGTCCCTGCGGGACTACCACACCCAGAATCTCACCTGCCTTTATGTGAAGAGTGGACAGGAAGATGACGCACGAATGATCAACGACGCGCTAGATGGGTTTGGCGCGCACCTCGTGGGCCTCCGCATCGAGCAGAAATTCAACCGAAAGGACAGCGCGATGTTCCCGTCGGCGCGCGCGATCCATTGGGAGCGGTGCACGCGCTTGCGGTTCTTGCAGCTTGAGGATCACTCAGGCCCCGGGTATTACTGGGTGCGTTGTCCGTATGATTCCTGGAAGACATGATCAAAACGTTGACATTGAGTATGATCTTGCAGATGCCATGGAACGCCGACGACGCGTGCTTTGTGTACAGACCGGGCTGCTGGGCCGACGTTGCCGCTCGGCTCCCGCCTACGCTCGAAACGCTGATATGGGGGCCGCTCTGGACACGCAGGTATCTCGACGTGGGCCCTAACCACAAGCATCGGGCGTTATTGCGGCGCTATGCGGAGGACATGCTGAAGGGGCATGCTACGCTGAAGGACGTCAAGTACCTGTGGAACGACGAGGGGTACTGTCATTGCTATCTGTTGGACGGGAGTATGATGGAGGGGTGGGCGGAGGCGAGAGATACTGACGACGATGCGTGGACAAGGGCCTGAGCCGTACCTCTCACTCCCGTGGGATGATTGGTGCGCTGCACTTGTGCGGTTTCATTGTAGAGGCAGCACCAGTACTACTGTACCGACCCTCGGAATCAGTCCGAGTCATGACTCGCGTCGATAAAGATTGTACGCCATGAGTCGCAAGGTGGAATCGTAGGACCGCCAAATTGTCCGCCCAAGCAAGCCTCGACTCGAGTCTCTGGCGCGTGCGTTACGTAATACGCGTAATACATCGTTGAACGCGAGCACGTGACATATGTTGACAACTACTTTAGCGACGTGTCTCGTAACCGGAGCTTGTTGAGTGTCACCACCACCTCGTTCTTGCGGGCACACCATCGCTCGCACACTATTTGACCCTGGTGTTCAGCATGTCGCAGTCAAATGTACAGACGCCTTCCCGTCGTTCGCAGCGCATCGCGGCACGACCACCACGACCACCCACCCCTCCGCCTGATCCAGCGCAGACGCGACCGCCAGCCAAGAAGGTCAGTGTAACTTCTGTCTCATGCCCTAGATTTGTACCAAATGCATTTGATATAGCGACGCCGCTACAAGGTTCGGAAGGAAGTGTCCAAACCATTCAAACCAACTTGTCAAGACATCATCTTCCCTGTAGAGATCTGGAGGTACATCTTCGAGATACTCTACGAGGACTCCGGCCAAAAGCGTTTTGCCCCCTTCGTGCGCTTTCTTTCTGCTACTCGTCGCGATGTCGAGGTGTTGTTGTACAGCAAGCCGCAAATCAAGGGGGGCCTGTCAGGTATACGGTTCGCGAAGAGCCTGACAGATCCCGAGTACCCTTACCGCGCCAACGCCGTCCGCGAGATCACGTTCAAGATGTTCCACACAGACAGGAAGCGTGCTAATGCATATTTTGACGCGATGCAAGCCGTGTTCGACAAGCTCCCGAACACGAACCTCGTTTCGGTCAATTTTCAGAGGGTTCATATTCGAGGGATCGCGCCCCTACCCGACCTCTCAATTGGAACCGTATTCCGTGACCATTCGTTTCCTCTCCGTCAGCTCAGAGGAGAGCCAATGCTGCTGAATGAAGACGCCGCGCAATTCTTGCACAGGCATTGCAATTTGCTCGAGGACGTTCGTATCGTCACTGTCCCGCCAACACAATCCGCGCCAATCGCACCAGGCTCCCCCGTATCGCTCAGCGGCCTCAAGTTCCCAAAGCTCCGCAAACTAGGCTGCGACGTTTGGACGTTGAACCAGATCAAGGATACGAGCAGTCTCACACATCTCTGGATTATGGACAAGTGGGACTCGTCGACGGGGCAGCAGGCGGTTGCACTTCTTGGAGAACAGCTTGTCAGCCTCCGTGTTGACCAGCATTTCCGAGCTCCTGCCGGAGCCATGTTCCCTACGCAACGGTCGGCGCAGTGGGAACGCTGCACCCGGCTCCAGTTTCTCCAGCTCGAAGACTTTCCTGCGCAACCCTGGACCCTCGTGAGTTCATCGTGTCGTCGTATTTCAAACTGGTACAAAATTCTTAACTGACTTCCGCGACGCAGCCTCGCTTCGACGCAAGAACTATGTATCTGGACCGCCAGAGGCAGCTGACACGTCAAGCTCCTCGCATTCCGAATCAGAATCCTGTGAGGCTCCCGCCCGCGCTCAAGACACTCGTGTGGGGCCCAGTGTGGACCCGCCTGTACCCTCTTTACGGCCATAGACGTTACGACGAGCCCGGTGTCGCGCATCGTCGGTGCATCATGTACTTCGTGGAGGATCTGCTCCAGGACTTTGCTCCTCTGAACGAGGTGATGGTATTTTGGAACGAACAGGGCTATCTGCATTACTGTCGGGCTGAGGACTCGGAGGATTTGCTAGAGGGCTGGGCGGACCCGAGAAGCGTCGACAACAACGGATGGGCTGCGGTGCAAGAAGGCTGACATCCGAGTACTCACTTAGCCCAAGGCCCCAAGTGCTATACGTAGTCAGGCTACCGAACTCCTACGAGTTCCTGTCTAAATTTCATATGTCTCTAAGCTGTCTAATATATGCGTAACTCTTGCCTGAAAGTGCCTTCACAATGATCGCGAGGAAACTTCAAGCTTCAACCTACATCTCGAGTTCTGCCAGGAGGTCCTCGCGAGCACGTGACTCGTGTTGACATTCATTATTGCCGGCGCGTCTCGCGATCGTCGCCTTGCCTTTTGCCACCACGTCGCTCGTGTTGGCCATGTCGCAATCAATGACGACGCCTTCTCGCCATTCAGAGCGGATTGCAGCGCGACCACCGCGACCGCCCACCCCTCCACCTGACCCGGCGCGGATGCGGCCACCGGCGAAGAAGGTATGTGTCACTATCTGACACAACCGCGTCATCCCAACTTGATCTCTCGTACAGCGCAAGCGTCGCACGGCACGACGAAGGAAAGAGCCCAAACCACCTCGCGGCGACATCATCTTCCCGGCCGAGATATGGAGGTACATCTTCGAGATGCTCTACGAAGACGGCCAGAAGCGGTTTGCCCCCTTCGTGTGCTTCCTCTCTGCCGTGCGTCGCGAGGCCGAGGCCTTGCTGTACAGCAAGCCGCAAATCAAGGGAGCCCTGTCGGCCATCCGGTTCGCAGAGAGCATCTCGGATCCAGAGCACCCCTACCGAGCGAACGCTGTGCGCGAGATCTCCTTCAAGATGTCCCACAAAGACGCGAAACGCGCGCAAGAGTACTTGGAAGCGATGCAAACGGTGCTTGACAAGCTCCCGAAGACGAACCTCTGTTCGATTGACGTGCAGAAGGTGCACGTCCGCGGGGTTGCTCCTTTTCCAGAGCTACGCCTGGACAGGATGCTACAAGGGAGAGCCTTCCCGCTCCGCCAGCTCAGAGGGGAGCCGATGCAGCTGACGCAACAATCTCTGCAAGTGTTGCAGAGCAACTGCGAACAGCTGGAGGAAGTTCGTCTCGTCTCGGCACACCAGCCAACCCCGCTGGCCGATGCGCTCTCGGACGTCGCTCTTGATGGGCTCAAGCTCCCCAAGCTTTGCAAGCTGGCATGCGACCTGCCGATCCTCAAACGCTTACAGTGCACGAGCAATGTCACTCACCTTTGGATCATTGACAAGCAGGGCTCGTGGGCAATTCGGCACGCCATCGAGCTCCTCGGGTCGCAGCTGGTCAGCCTTCGGGTCGATCAAACCTGGTATGATAATGAACAACAATTTCCCACAACACGCGCCGTGCAATGGGATCGCTGCAAGATGCTCAAGTTCCTGCACCTGGAGGATTATATTGCCCGTCCTTCCGAGTATGTGAGTGTATGGAAAGACGTCGCGGTCTAAATGACTGAACTGACCGCGGTCGGTCAGCGTCGGACACATCCCCCTTTTCCGAGCCAGATGACACTCCCGCCCAACTTGGAGACGTTCGTATGGGC